TACAAGTCACCGACCACTTTCAATGTGGTTTCAATGTCAACCTTCAACGTTGATTCTGCCTGACATCGATTCAGTGTTGTTTGAATCATTCTGTGCTATCTGGGTATGCAGAGAGAATGTATATTTTACATATCCAGACATCAGCATCTGGGCTTTAACCCACATTTTACAGAATCCAGTAACATCTCTACTCCACACTGCCCCAACCAGACCCAAAAAAGTTTCTGCGTCTTTAATATTTGCTATATTAAAACACATCGTATCTCATCTGACCAAAGGTTTTGCCAACCAACTAAGGGACAGCTGTGGAGTCAGAATCACATAACTGAAAAATACAAAGTTTGCACTGATGAGAATTCATTTGGTTTACACAGAAGTTACTTATTCTGTTTTTGAAATGTTTAATAACATTTTGATTGTTATAGAATCTCATGTTGATGTTTTTAGCACTTGATAAAATCAGACAATAAAAGGCAACTATGTGATAATTCTAAACAAAAGGTATTTCTGAATTGTGAAACTGTTTTCAACTGTAGGCAAACATTGAGCAAATACAGGCTGATTCCATCAGTTAGAATATGACTGAAAAGTTCCTTTGTCAGCAATTCCATCACCAAGCGAAAGACATTATATAGATCAATTACATTACTTTGGTTTTAACATATTTATATTTCGTATGTTTGATACCTGCTAAAAGGTTATTTTTTAAAGGTACTATTAATCTGACAAACCTGATCAGGATGTATGTCCTCGTTTATTGAATAAGACTGTATGGCATTCACATGTAAGTTTTAGCTTTATTCTTAGCACTAAAAAAGAAAAGGTCTTCCAGTAACTGTGGGTCCATCAGTTCCCCCGGCTCCTCCTCCTCCCCACCAACTGGCAACACAAAGTTACACCCTTGTGTGGAAGTCAGCTGATTATAATATCTGGTTGCTGAAAAATCGAAAACTCAGGGCGAGGACAGCACAACCATAATAACTTAACACATGACAAAACAGAGGTCCAATATGTACAACTTCTGTTTGGACCTCTGTTTTCTCATGCGTTAAGATATTATGGTGTTAAAGCAGGGAATTGCAAACCATTAGTGGAGAACATGTTCATCAGACATTGACTGTAAAACATTCGACTCAAATGTCTCAACAAAGGTGTAAAAACCATATTTATTTAAATTAATCTGCGAAATAAAGCCCACAGTTTTAGGGCTTACATGGTTAAGAAACATCATAATGGTTTATTCCCAGAGTGAAAGTAAAACCAAGATTTAAGCGCTGAAATCCTTAAACATTACAGTTTAGTAAATTGTTCATTTTGAGTACAGTCTGAGTCTAAAGTAATTTACACTAAGTCAGCATAGTAGTCTAATTTCTTAT